CTCTCTCTCTCTCTCTCTCGCTCGCTCGCTCGCTCTCCCTCTCTCTTCTCTTTCATCTCAGTGTCTCCCTTTAGGCTATCTGACAACCTACTCTCAAAGACATTCAAAATCCGGCATTTTACAATACAGTTACCAGTTACTACGTCCCGTATTTTTTTCTACTCCCTCCACTACGTCCTCGCTATGACGGGCTGAACCACATTTTCCACATTCCACTTCTTCCACACTGAAGATGAGCCACACCCAACAACCACCCGATACTCACCACAGCCACATTTCATATTTATCACCCAACTCCCGATGTATTCAACGCCAATAGATAAAAGCAACTACTCAAGGCATTAAAATTTAGTATATACTTCATGCGCTGTGCTATGCGTCTACTACTTATTATAATCCTTGTCTGGTAAATCATAGTAGGTGTCTATGCTATCTTCTCGACTTTTTTCAATATAGTTGAGAACCATAATACCTTCTTTATACCTACTATCACTGCTACTACAGATATACATACACTCAGACAAATTAATAAACACACACACGTTGTCACACTAACCATACACAGAATAACATTAAAAAACACCTAATCTGTCTCCCACAGCCCACACATACCTACCTACCCCCCCCTCCAACACATAACCCGCTCTCCCCCCGACTTCGAAAACACACAGAAACACCCACTCATTCTCCCAGAACACACACATGCACCCCCGCCCCTACACACCCCCTACCAATCCCCTTCCACAGCCACACTAAACCCTACCCCATTCATCAAACAGCCGCTACCACCTCGAGTAGCTTCCACGCATCCCCTGCCGACTTACCCGCCTCGCCACACAAGTCCCTCGCCATCTGTCCGTCCTCTGCGTGAGTCGGTTTACCAAACACAGGGTCCCGGGCGGTCCTTCAGCGCCAACTCATCAAAGGACGGTGAACTGATATCCTTGACGTGCGATGGAGGCTCGTCCCTGGCTCTTTGTTGGGGCTTGTCTGTGTGTCTCTCTGTCTGTCTACTCGTCTCTCTACCCGTCTCCTTTTCTCTCTGTCTCCCTGTTTCTCTCCTCGTCTCTCTGTCTGTCTCCTCTGTCTTATCTGTCTATTTCTTTGTATCTCTGTTTTTTCTGTCTTCCTGCTCCTCTGCGTGTCCCCATGTCCCTCCGTCTCTCAGACTACCTGCTAGTCTATCTGGCTATTATTTCCCCTTCTGTTTCTCTGTTCGTATATCTGTATATCTGTCTCCCTGTCTACACGTCTGTTCATCAACCACGATGCCTGTGTCGGTTTGGCTGGGAATGTTTATCTATCACCGTTAGCTGATTAGCGTCATGTTAAAAGATATTTGCATAAAGCGAACAGGTAAAAGATAATTGACTCTCATCTGCGCTAACAAGAATCATCGTCAGATTTGTTCACCTGTAAATCATTAGTGAAAAGAAGGAGTGTTTTTTACGATCATTATTCGTGTGATAGAAAAGACGAGGAGGATATGAAATTCAGGTATTTTTTCTTTTCAATTTACGCAATATTTTTTTTCTCTGGTTTTCTTAAGTCAAAGAACACACGGAAGAAATAAAGAGAACGTCGGCATTGGCAGAGGCGGGGGGAAAAGGGAGAAAGAAAAGAATGAGATAGGGGAAGGGGACAAACAGATAGGGAAAAATCGGCACACAGAAGGGAAAAAAAAACAAGGAAAGGAGTAAGCAATTAACTGAGAGAAGGATCAAGAACCCAGACGGTGCACGGAAGACATAAACAGACAGAAAGGCAGACACCCGCACAGACAGATAGACGCACAGACAGACGGGCAAACAGAGAGAGAAATAACACATAACGAGAGAGTGAGCGAGACAGAAAGAGAGAGAAAGAGAGAGGACGGGTGACATACAGACAGCAGACAGTCAAAGAGAGAGTGAGAGAGAAAGAAAGAAAGAGAGAGAGAGAGAGAGAGAGAGAGAGAGAGAGAGAGAGAGATAGAGAGAGAGAGAGAGAGAGAGAGAGAGAGAGAGAGAGAGAGAGAGAGAGAGAGAGAGAGAGAGAGAGAGAGAGAGAGAGAGAGAGAACGAAAGAAAGAAAGAAAGAGACAGAGAGAGAGAGAGAAAGAGAGAAAGAGAGAGAGAGAGAGAGAGAGAGAGAGAGAGAGAGAGAGAGAGAGAGAGAGAGAGAGAGAGAGAGAGAGAGAGAGAGAGAGAGAGAGAGAGAGAGAGAGAGGGGCAGAGCGAGAGAGAGTGGAAGGAAGGAGAAGCCAAACACCCTTACCAAAACACCTGTTTGACACACGAGACGGCCAGGACAGACACTCCCACTCGAGCGCTGACACGAAAGGCTGGTATGTCTGGCTGCAAGACGATGCCACCAGCCTCGCCCCGGAGCTTCGGCGTCTCTGAAAAAGGTACAGAGGAACAGCCGTGGCCGCAGAGGATGGAGGAGGAGGAAGAGAAGGAGGAGGAGGAAGAGGAGAAAGAGGAAGAGGAGGAGGAGGAGGAAGAGGAAGAGGAAGAGGAGGAGGAGGAAGAGGACGAGGAGGGGTAGGGGAAGGGTTAAGAAGGAAGTGAGGTAGTGGAGGAGGAAGGGGAAGAGTAGAAGGTAGATGAGGGAGGGGAAAAGAGTGGACAGGGGAAAGGGCAGATTAAGGAGGATGAGGAAGAGGAGGATGGGAGGGGGGGGGAGAAAATTGAGGATTGGAAAGAGGAGAAGAAAGAGGAGGAAGAGGGACAAGGGGTGTAGAAGGAAAAGGAAGAGTTGGAGGAGGAAGAGGAAGAAGAGAAGTAGGGGGACAAGGAGGATGATTGTAAAGTCTATGAGAGGAATATGAGCGCGAGGACTAGGAGGAAAGGGACGAGGAGGAGGAGGAGGAGGAATAGTGTGAGAGTTGGAGGAGGAGGGAAAGATGAAGGACGAGGTAAAGGAGGAA